AATAAAATAAAAATTTAATATTTAATATTCCATTTAAAAACTCATATTTTATACTTTTTTAAAAAATTAAACTTACGTCGTAAACCTCCTTTAAACAAATTTTGGGTCTTTCTAAAATTACTCCTCTTTGCACTCTTTCTACAACTTCTGTATTTTTTAATCGACCATATGGCATTTTACCACAAGTAAAGACTTCCCACATAAGAACTCCTGAAATATAATAATAATAAATTTAAAAATTTCAATTTTTTTTCCCTTGCCAATTTATTTAATTAAAAAGTATTTAATAATTATCTCACCGTAAGCCCAAACATCGCTTTTAGACGAAAACCTAGTATAATTCAATACTTCTGGAGGAGCCCATTTTATAGGAAATTTTGTACCGCCTGAACTCGTATACTGATCATCCAAAACATACCTTCGATAATATAATTTGAAAATAAAAAATTTATAATTGAACCGCAATAGAGAACAAAAAAAAAAAAAAAAAAAAAATTTCTTTTTCGATCGAATAATTTACCTAGCCAGTCCAAAATCAGCAACTTTAACTACATTTTCACTTCCTACTAAGCAATTTCTAGCCGCTAAATCACGATGTATGTAATTATGTCTTTCTAAATAAGCCATTCCCTTGCAAACCTGTATGCACATATCTAGTAAAAGACCAACGTTGGCACCTAAAGTTTGCTCGTGTCTTCTTAAATAATTTAAAAGAGATCCGTGCCTCATGTACTCGGTAACAATATATATTGGTCTATGTTTACTACACACTCCATATAGTTGAACCAAATTTTGATGTTGAAGTTTTCTAAAAAATTAAATGAATTTTTTTTAACAACTGGTTGGTTAATAAAGGTACAACAATTTCAACAAAATGTCACACTTACGTCATTACTTTTGCTTCTGCTATAAAATCATCTTCAGACATGGTACCTTCTTTCATCATCTTTACGGCAACGTCAATCGATCCTCTCCATTTTCCTCTTCTGACGACTCCGAATTGCCCGGATCCTAGTTCTTCTTGAAGCATGAGTTCCGTAGGAGAAATTTCCCACTTGTCTACACCGAAACGAAAAAAAAAAAAATTGTTATACAGTCGAATTTATTTTTATTAAAAAAAAAAAAATTAGACTTGTAGGTTTATTCTCACCGTGACTCAAACCGGCAGTTGCGGGCACTGGACGATCGCAAGGACTCGTTTTAAGTCTGGATGCCAACCCTCCGCTATTGTGACGATGGTAATTAACTAAATCCGGTATGGAACCACAGCAATGTTTTTCTGATAAAAAAAAATCCCCTCTGGCGCTTTGCTTAATATGATAATGTTTAACATGAGGATGAGGGCTAAAAAAAAAAAAAAAAAAAAAATTTAAATTTTCGAATCAATTTATTAATTAATAAGTGACGTTTGAAAAAGAAGGTAAATTTAATTTACTTACACTTTTGTATATAAGGAAAGTGTATAGAGTCCCTTAGTTGAAGAATTCCTTACAACAAAACATCCTTCTTTATCTTCCTGTTTAAGTAGAGATTCCGCTCTTTGCCGAGACATATCACCGACATACCACCTAAAAACCGATAAAAATTTAATTATTCCATTCATATAATTTTTAAATTTATTACATTACTAATAATAATAATAATAATAATCTTACTCATATTTTTGAAGACCTAATAATTCTTTTTCTTTAACGTAATTACTAGGAATGTATCCGATGACACCGGAGGCGTTTTTAACTTTCCACCAGTGTTCCTGGGAATCATCGACTACTTCATATTCGGCACCTTTATCGAGAGACAAGTTTCCCCCTTCGATTGCTTTAAAAGGATATAAAGCAACTACAACTTTGGGCCTGAGCATGATTTTTTCCTGTACATTGAAGGTAAGCATTTAAAATAACAAATTAAAATTACTCACCCAAAAAAAAAAAAATTGATTTGGAAATTTAAAATGAACACTTTGTAATTTTATATCGATAAAAAATAGTTTAGTTTTTATATGCTAAAAGATTAGAAAACTTACTGGAATTTTGTTTTTGGAAGAGGGGGTGCCAGGAGCACCGCCCGGCATAATGCTATTGCAATTCAGGCTTGATTTTGAAACAAACGATTCTATGTAAAAAAAAAAAAAAGAAAGAAAACAATTAGTCAAAAAAAGTTAGTTTCAAACTTTGATGGAATGCTGAGTTTTATAAAGACAAAATATAAATAACAAAAGCTAATATTTATATAATAACAAAAAATATGATGACGTGGGCAAACAGGTAATAACACCAGAGAGAAAAGAAGTGTAGGCGAAAAGAAAACTTATGGTAAATCTTCCATAATCAATTGTTTTTTTTTTTTTTATTTAAATTTAAAATTTAAGCTTTTAAAAAAAAAGAACACTTACCTAATTCTTCAACTTTAGTCGGACTATTTTTTACAAGGCTTTCTGTCGAGGATTGTCTCAATAGGGTTGTGAGTGCAGCCCTCGACCAAGACGAACAAATATTACAACCACTCGCAGAACGGTTGGACAAACGACAACAAGACCAACGTTTCCCTGACCAGACACCTCTGTGATATCTTTCAGATTTCAAAGAATTATCTAAACAAACTAAAATTACAAATATTAAAAATTATTACACTGGAAGAATCTTATACAACCATAATTAATTATTATTATTATTATACGTAGTATATTAACCTCTACGAATGGATTGAATCCAATCAATTCTATCTTGATCCTTTTCGGCTAGCAAATACAAAATATATTTTTGATCGTTTTCTTGATACCCTACTTGAAACGGGTACCCCTGAGGATGAGTATCGGACAGAGTATTAACTTCACCGTTACTTGAAAGTTTTGCTGATTCGATGACGTGAACGCCAGTTAATAAAACTCTTCCTTTTTCTTTTTTTCTCTGAAAATTATAAAATTTTATTTTAATTAACGTTAAGTGATTATTAAATGAATTATATTATTATTATTTTTTATTATTACATTTAACAACATAAAATTAAAAAGAGAGAAAAAAACAAACCCGATGACAATTTTATATAGGCGTGACTGTTTTGAATGAGAGCTCAGATCCCGTAAATTTTATTTAATCCCTCTAAACGTTATAGTTTTGTTTAAAAAAACCCTCTTCCCGTTCAAATATTTTCCACTCCCGTTTTCTTTACGTTAGACCTCCCCCCCCTTTTTTTTATACATAATAATAATAATAAAAAAAAAAAAAAAAATTTTACAACGAAAATAATTGAAAATAATTAAAAAAAAAAAAAAGAAGAGAAAATAAAACGCACTTTTTTAACGCACTGATTATTTTCTAATTTTATAGGCGTAAATAAAATTTCAACCAATTATTATTATTATTATTATTATTTTTAATTAATGACACAGGTTCGCGTAAATCTCACAACAAAATTTTATTTAATTGTTTAAATAAAAAAAAAAAAATTTAAAGTATAATTAATCGATTTTTTTTTGTTATCATTTTAATTTTTCATAGTAATGATAACCGATTATAATGTAAATTCTCGCGATATTTTTCGTAATTTTTTTTTATTTTTTATTTTTTGTTAAAAAGGTGCAAAAATTATTGATTTTCGAGATTTGATATTCCGAAAAAAAAATTTCTTTTTGAAATTAAGTAAAGATTTTTATTAAACGTTATTAAAACAAGTGACGTAAATTTAAACGCGATTAATTTTTTTTTTTTTTTTTAAACACTGGTGCGACGTTTAAATATTCCGTATATAACTTTTTATGTTTAAATATATAATAAAATAATAACTGAATATAAAAACAAACTCAAATCGTGAAATTTTTTTTTCCATTTATTGATATTTGAGAGGTTTTTAAGGCGTTACGCGCATCAAAACCTTGCGCACCGTAAAAAAAAAAAAAAAAACCATACAAAAGCTTCAATTGTTTTTTAACATTATGGAAAACTTTTAATCGACAAATTAATTTCATTCATTCATCTAATATTTTTACGAACAATGTCAAATTAGTATAAAACACAGAATACAATTTATAAAAGACAAAAAAAATTAAATAGGAATAATCCCTATAAAATAAATAACATTCGAATAAAATAAATTTTTGAATTTAAACGTATTAAAAAGCGACTCATTTGTTAAAAATAAATAATTCGTAAGCAAATGTTCTTCGAAAAAAAAATAGGTAGATTATTTATTGGTCACAGTATTTAAGTAAAATAAATTAACAAAGTCATAGCGGAAATTAACAAAATAAGTAAAACAATCAAAAGCAAACGCAGTAAATCAAGTTCTTATGGGTGATTGATATTATCTTTAAAAAACCATACAAAAAGTTATAAATAACTTTAATAACTATAGATAAGTTGTAATAATTGAATAAAAAGTTATTTTCTCAATAATTTTTAATTATCTGAGCTTAGGAAAAAAATAAATAAAAATTATTTATTTAAAGTGTTCATTTATATGGAAGGATTTATTTAAATTATTAACGTAATCAAGAAAAAACAATCAAATTTTCAAAACTAAACTTTGGCCATATAGTGTGTAGTAATTAGTCGTATTTTCTGTTAGTTTACTTAATCTTGAAAAATAATATTTTATTTTCATGATATTCTGACATTCTGATCATACAAAAAAAAAAAAAAAAAAATTTACTTACATCACCATCACCATCATAGTAAATTAAATAGTTCTTTGTAAGAACAAACCAACGTTGTTTATAATTAACAGGAGTGAAACGTTTTTTATTTTGAGAGCGCTTTACCATAAAACCTTCTTTAACTATTTCTTCTTTTCCATCTTTACCAGCCATCACCATTGAAGATGAATTCAGTATATCTGGAAAAACAAAAAAAAAAAAAAAAAAATTTTTATGTTGTTATATTTTAATTTCTAATTGAGAAATGCTGTTATTAATTTTCTCTTTTTTGTTTTCTTTCTAAAAAAATATTTAATGAAACATTTAATTGAAAAATGCGGGGTTTTTACGTTAGGGTCTTGGGCGTATGTTGCATAACAATTTAATGTCGCCAAAGGCAACACAAGTTGGCGGAATTTTTGGTGGTTTTTGCAAAAACTTACTTAATTTATAAAATTTTGTTCAGTTTTACACAAAAAATAAGCTAATTAATATAAAGCTATATTATTAGATTAGTACATTTAATGACTAGGTTTTTTTTTACTTTATTTATTAACATAAATATATATGTGACATTTTGTAACATGATCTATTGAATATTGAATGAAATCATATGGGTGGTGTTTAAATGCATATTTAAATTAGATAATAGTAAAATCAATTAAATAACCTCACCCAGATTAAAATCTAGTAAAAAAAAATTAAATATAAAGAATAATAAAAATACTTTGAATTTGTTTCAAAAATAATTTCTATTCTACAATCTCGATATTGTACAATATAAATGATGTATACTAAATTAAGATATTTAAGTATTTGCAAAAATTGAAATTGAAAAAGGAATTTCAGGCAATTAAAAGATGAAGTAAATATAAAATTTTTAATTTTTTAAAAGTTTTTTTGTAGGAAATGATATTCATGAAATAATAATAATTATAATTTTGTGAAATATGAGAAATAAAAATTTATGCTTAAAAAAAATTTTTTTTTTGGGTAATATTTGTAAGATTAATAATTATTGCTTTATTTTAACAAATGACACAAATAATAATTATTATTATATTCTCCAATAATTTAAGATAATGTATTAAAAATTAAAGTTTTAAAAAGATTTTTTTTAATACTAAAAATAATTACCAAGTATTCAATCAGCAAGTACAAAATAAAAAATTTTTAAACTCCAAGAAAAATATATATATATATTTAAAATATTTTATTATAGTATAGAAATTTATTAAAATAATAAATAAAAATAAGAAATTAAATTCATGAAAAAATATAAAATAAAATAATTTTTGTTTTAATAAGTTGAAATATAAAAGCAATACTAGGGTTAAATATACCTGTTGAATTCAATTATGAAAAGGTGAGGCCTTGGCCCTTTGTTTGCAACAGGTAGAAAAAGTCAGAGTCCATATCATATTATTGTAAAATGTAATTCGTGAATTAACAATTATAATTAAATATCCTTAAAACAAGGGAAATAATGAAAGTATTATATCTTTTAGATCATTTACGAACATACAAAATGAATACTCAAAACATAATTTACCATTTCATGTGATTAATACGATACTTTTACAACATTAACAACTTCATATTATTAACGTTTTGAAAAACTCAAAACTAACACTAAATAAATAAATATTTTGGCTTTGTTTAAATCGTCAATTTAATTAAATATATATAGATTTCCGAACAAAAACTATGAACTTAAAACACAAAAAGTTAAAATTATCTAGTAAAATTATTTGAAATCAATTATGACACTAAGAACCGAAGCATAGATTTAAATTAATTTTCATAAGGTAACAAAAATTAAAACTCTATGAAATTTAAAAGCTGTACATCGGATAAATATTTTTAGCATTTATAAAAAATTTTATTAAAAAATTTTAAAAATAATAACTTTTTTACTCAAATTTTTTATAATTTTAATTTTTTAAACAAATAATTTAAAAATTCAAATGATTTTTTTCATTTATTAATAAAATGTTAAAAATTTTTCTCTATGAAACTGCAACACGTCATCATAAATAAAAGCATGTGAACAGTTGTCTTATTGATATGATAATGACGTTTTAGGTTACTCTTAGTAAAAATATAATAAACGTAAATATATAGTTAATAGAAAAATGGAACATTCTGGAAATGATAGTGACGTTTTTTTAAGTGCAGAGGAATCGTTTGATGAAGATGAAGAAGAAAGTTTAAAAAAAAAAGAAAAGTCTTCAAAGTTACAAGAAATAAATGTCAACGACGAGAATATTGTTGCTGACGAAAACTTAAAAGATGGTGTTCGATCATCGGATGTACCAAACGTTAACACTGAATCTGTGGCTTACAGAAAAAGACCTAGCAGGTCAAAAAATTCTTCCAATAATTTATTTGATAAAACTGCGGTTAAATCTGACAAAAATTTATTTAACAATTCAATTTTTTCTACTGATTCTGTATCTGATTTTTTTTTTCGTGACGTTACCAATAATTTATCTGTAAATATTAATAAAAGTTTGCTTACTATCCAGCAAACATCTTCTAATGTTAAAGAAATAATTAAAAATTCTATACCGACCAATGATCCGGAATCAAGTGATACATTTAGTTATGATGATACAAGTTCAGATTTAAATTATGTACCTTCTTCTAATCCAGTTGTTCTACAATCAAAATTTAATGTTTCAGATGATTTAAATTCAAATTTTTCTAACTGCCAATCTGAAATAAAAGAAAAAGAAGAACTTGAATTTGAAAATTCTGATACAGAAAAAGAAAGTGCCAATCAAAGTGAAAAAAGTAACATGTTGTTGACTAGTGAACCTGATGATGAAAAAACAATAGATAAAAAGCTTGAAAATTTAGTAAATGATACTGTTAAAATAGGCAATAATTCACTTAAAAATAAAATTGTTGATGTTAAAGCATCTGAAAATGAAACTATCAATAAAATGAAAACATGTAAATTGGATGAAATCGACAATGATGATTCAATAAATGACACAGTTGAAGAAAAACAATACTTAAAAGAAACTAGTATGAAATTTTTAAATGATTTGCAATCTAATTTGAAAAAAACAGAAAATTCTGATATTGAATTTATAAAAAGTAATTATTCATCTGAAAATGATACTTCAGTTGTAAATGACCTTGATAATTCCAATGCATTATTAAGTGATGAGAAAGAAAACAAATATGAAGAAATTAAAAAAGAAAATGATGATTTAAGTTTGTATAATGAGGAGGTAAAAAATAATGTTGAATTAAATTCTTTTTCATATAGCTCAAACGATGGCAAGCCAACAAAATCAGTTAACAATTCTTCTGAATCTAAACAATTTGAAAAAAATATTAAAAAGAATGAAGATAATAATAAACAGGAAAAAAATTGTGATATTTTAGAAAATATTTCAGAGAGTGACAATTCAAATTCAAATAATGATAAAGAAAAACAAAATATTCAATCAGATAAAATATTAAATTATTCTCAAAAATATTCAAATGAGGAAGATAGTAATGTAAAATTTAATTTAACCACAAGTGCAAATCTAGAAGAGAATGACGAAAATTCAAATGAACAAGATGGATGGGAAGATTTTGATGTAAATATAGATTCAGATTCTGTTCTAGAAAATGCCTCATCTTCAAAGCTTGAAAACACTTCATCATTTAAGAGTATTAAAGAAGAATCAAGAAGTGTTTTAAAAACTGAAAAATGTGATAATTATGAAAATTCAGATAATAATTCTCAAAATTTAGATAAATTAGATTCAGAAAACAGTGATGCAATTAATGATTGGGGTTGGGATGCTTGGGAAAGTGTAAATGACGATGATAAAAATGATGAAGTTTTAACAGACAAATTTGTACAAAAAAATAAAAATTCTAGTCACAAAATCAGTCAAGAAGTACATACTTCAGAAAAAAATAAAGCTTTATTTAGCAAAAATGTTTTTGACACAAATAGAGGAGTTACTAAAGGTGAAAAATTTGAAGAAGAGAAGAAAGTAAATTCTGACCTTGGTAAAGAAGCAAAATGGAGCTCTTGGGGAATCAGTACCCTTTTAGATAAAGCTTCTGCTGTTACACAAGGAATATCAAATGCGATTGAAGTTGGATTAGGTGTACCTGACCCTGAAACTTTAGCACGAATGGATAATTCAAATGAAAACAGTGACAAAGTTAGGAAAAGTGTAGCTAAATCACCTGCTGAAAATGATAATAGAAATTTTTTGCCTGATTTAAATTTATTAGGTTTACCCAATTTGGTTGTTGATGTAACAAGTAAAATTGTAGAACATTCAAAAATTCAAGAAATAGGTGCAAAAGTTATAACGGGAGGGCTTGATACTTTGGAGAGTTTTGGGAAAAAAACTATAGAAGTGTTACAAGAAGGGGATCCAGGTTTAAGAAATAAAAGAGCTTTATTTTCTAGTAATCAATCATCATTATCACCCATTTTAAAAGAAATAAGTGACAAAGCGAGCAAAGAAATAAAAAAATCTGAAGAGTCGGAAATGCAAAAAAAGTGTCAATTTGAGAGAATTTTTGATGATTTTCAGGGTAATAAAAATTGTAATTCATATATATTAGGTTTAAAATTTTTAAATATTTTATAATTTGTAAAAAAATTATCCACTGATTATAATACTGTTAAGTTGGGTTTTTTATTATATTCTTTAATAAAAATAATTTACTCATTTCAGGAGGTGTGTACATAGAATCACTTGAAATGTTATCAAATCAATGTAAACTAAAATTAGAACAAATTAAAAGTGCAATGAATAGTGATGAAGTAGCAGATTTGAATGACATTCTTGAAGAAGTTAACGAACTGTGTGCTACTTATGAATTAGAACCAAATATTACAACCACTCAAAGTTTTGAAAATAATTTAAAAGGAGCAATAGAGCCATTCAAAAATGAAATTTCTATTAATAATTTGATAAAGGTGAAAATACTTTATAAGTTTAATAACAGTCATTAAATCACATGTGTTCAAAAGACGATATCTGAAACTATAAATTTAATGTATTTCAGGCACACATGGAAATTCAAAATTGGTTTAAATCATTCAATGAGAAAAATGTTTCTTATGTTTTTGTGCAGCAAAAGTTAGTATCGGCAATAGCTCAAATTACAGCTGCTACTATTCATTTGTTTCATAAAACTGGTCAAGTGATGTCCATAAGAGAACACAGGCAAACTGTTGAGGAAATAGAATCATTATCAAAGTAATTTTTTTTAAAAATTCATGTATATTTTTATGTTTCAATTACAGTAACAATAATTTTTTTATCTTGCAGAATTTCCCATATCATGACCAAGGAAGTTGTTTCAATTTGGGAAAAGTTTCAAAATCTTACAAAATCAATGTCAATTGATCAAGATAAATTACAAACTATTCATAAAAATGTAGAAAATGTATTACCAGAGTCATTATCACACATTAAAAATGCTTTTAATTTACTAATACCTATTTTACAGCTAGGAGCAGCAGTTTGACTTATTTTTATGCATTACTTTTTTATCAATATATTATATTATGTAAATATTTATAAAAATATGGCAGTTATTTATTTTGTAAAAATTTCAATTCTATGTATTAAAAATATTTTTTAATAATTAAATAAAATGGTTTCTGTTTTAAAATGAATTTTTTGTACAATATAAGAATCGTTTTTTTGTACATTCAAGGAAAGCTAAAATTTGGTTTTTACATATTTAAATTAAGCCTACATAAAGTACTTTATTTCGATATATGTTTGTATGACATATTTTAATTTTGATATTAAATTTTAAAAATTATTTATTATCTATATTTTATAATATAGATGAAATAATTATAAATAGTTTATGTCAGGAAAAAATTGTGTTAGTAAATATATGAAGATTTACTCTGTGCCAGTCGATAATACAATCTATGATAAAATGGTCAAGTTAAAATTTTCTAAATTTTAGTCAAAACTAGCATTTTTTAAGTTTCAAAAATAAAAAAAAAAATCGGATAAAAAGATTTTTTAGCATTATAAAAACTAAATGTATTTTAAAAATTGAAAAATAATATTATGCCTATAAGTAGGTTAGATACAGCTTATAGAAGTTTGGTTATTTCAAAATTTTTCAAAAAAGGTTGGGGAAAACCAGAGAACCTTAAGAAGTAGGTTATATTTAAAAACAAATATAATAATTAATTTGAAATTAAATTTGATTTTATTTAAATTTTTATGAAATAATAATTACATAAATCTTAAAATTTTTGTATCAATATTTTCTATGATGTTCAGTTTATAATAAATTGTTTTATTTTAGAATTGTAATGAAAATGAAAAAATTATTTTTATTTTTAGGTTATTCGAATTTCGAAAAATAGTTTCCAAAAGAGAAACATGTTTTCCTTTAGTAGATACAGATTACCCAGTTACAATAACGAAAGAAATCAATTATTCAGATAGTATTTTATTAGAAGGTCAATTTTTATCTCCATTCGAAGAATACTTACCTGGTTTGTTACCTCAAGTTTCTAAAACAGCATATTTTCAAATGTTACTTCCTAAAAAATGGAAATCATCACATTATAAACCTGTCTGTTTGCATTTGGCTGGAACAGGAGATCATGTAAGTGTATTAAAAATTTTCATAGCTTTAAATTTATTTTTCACTTAATGTAATAATATTATTAATTGATGTTTTTCAAAATTAACTTAAAGTTTTACTTAATTTTACTTTTCAATGGCTGTCTTGCACTGGAAACTGTTATACAGTATCCCTCAAAATTATTACCACAACAAATATTTTTATTGTCTTACCTTAAAAAACATTTAAATCTGTAATTTTTCAAATATTAAAATGGTTTTTAAACATAACTTTCAGTAACAACTAATGTTTTATAAAAAACTTATAATAATACATAATTTTTTTGTAATTGTTTAAAAATGTTTTATAATGTTTGTATTTTATGGTTTATAAAATTCTTTTATAAAAAAATTAGTTTCGATTTATTTGTATCATTCATAAGAATTCAATATTTAAAAGTTTACATGTATTTTTCAATTTGTTATATTTAATGTTTATTTAATTATCTTTATGACTTGATGTTTTTAGTATTGCACATATTGATGCTGATGTAAAATGAATTTTCAGTTTTTTTTTAGGCGACGTAATTTAATGGCTAAGCCTTTACTAAAAGAAGCAGGAATTGGAGCATTATTATTAGAAAATCCTTTTTATGGGCTTAGAAAGCCCAAAGATCAGAGGTTTGTTTATTTTTTAATATTTTTTTGTTATAAAAAAAAAAAAAAAGGATTTTGTTTTGAAAAAGTTTAATGATGATGTTATTGTATTGTTAATTTGCCTTAATAGATGGTCATCATTGCACAATGTGTCTGATATTTTTGTAATGGGTGGTTGTCTGATACTTGAATCTTTGGTTTTATTTCATTGGTGTAAAAGAAATGGTTTTGGACCTTTTGGTTTAACAGGAATATCAATGGGAGGTCATGTGAGTATTTAAAATTTTCTGTTTTTTTAAAAACCGAATGTAACCTTATTATTTAGCATAGGTAGTTTTAAAAAAAAAAAAAAAAAAAATATTAATAGAAATGTTATTGATTTCAGATGGCATCCTTGGCAGCAACCAACATTCCAGAGCCTATTGTATTAGTTCCTTGTTTATCATGGACTACAGCTTCGGGAGTTTTCACTCGTGGAGTTATGAGCTCAGCCATTAATTGGGAATTATTAGAACACCAATATTTTAGCGATGAAAGCTATTGCAAAGAAATCAAGCACATGGTGAAAATTATTGATAATGTAAATAAGTAATTTTTATACTTTTAATATTACAAGAAACAAGTTTATTTTCAAATAACAAATTGTAACAAAAAAAAATATGGAGCATTTCTCACACGGTTAAAAAGTTGTTTTAAATAATTAACAAAAAGTATTTTAAAATAATTTTATATATGTATAATTAGTAAATAATTGGGAAAATAATTAGAATTAACTAAAAATTTTTTACTTAAAGTTAGTGGTTTGCTGCTCATTTTTGGCTCAATGAAAGAAATTTATTTATTATATTATTATTTAATGTTTGATATTTAGCATGATTGTTTTGCTGCCGGCCAGCATTTTGTAAAAAATTATCCCGAAAGTTTGAGTAGAGTGGAAAAACTATCAACGTCAACGGAAATCAACGAATTTGAAGGAAGCGAAAAAGGAAATAAAAATTATATATCGAATTTTTCAACTCTAGATTTTAATAGAAGTAATATAAATAGTAATGAAGAATATAAAATAAAAAAAGATTTAAAAAATTTATTCACCGTCGAAGGTTTAACAGGGAAAATCGTTAATGAAAGTTTGGAAAAAACGAAAAATAAATTGTTAGAATACTCATTTTTAAAAAACAAGGAAAATGAAAAGGAACTATTAACTAAAGATAATGAAAAGGAACTTTTAACTAAAGAAAATTCTCATTTATTCGAAGATGGAAAAAATAAAATTGATAAAGAAAAATTGGAAGCATTACAGTTCATGTGTGGGATTATGGACGAATGTACCCATTTAAAAAATTTTAGTATACCTGTAGGTTTTTTTTTTTACAAAACATTAAATTCTATGCTTGTGATATATTTTAATTTAAATTTAATACATATTAAAAATTTTTTTAGTATGATACTGAATTAATAATATCAGTCACAGCAAAAGATGATGCTTATGTTCCAAGAGATGGATTAACAGATTTTCAGGATCTTTGGAGAGGTTCTGAAGTTCGATATTTAAACTCTGGTCATATAGGAGCATTTTTACTACACCAAAAGTTTTTTCGGTATTTAATATATATTATAACTTTATTGAAATTTTAAATTTTGTATCAGATAAATAATTTTATTTATTTTTAGTTTAGCAATTATTGATGCATATGAAAAATTGAAAGCAAAATATTATAAAAATGAAAAGAAAGCTGAGCATGTCAATGGTGAAACCTAAGTCAATAATATTGTTTCAACAATTCTTTACCACGTGTTGTATTTTTATTAATTCAATTTTTTTATTGTAACAACATTAGAATAGAAAAATAAATTAACAATTTAAAAAAAATACATGTATATATATATCATGTTTTAAGTAAAAAATATCAATGATTATTCACGTTTACTAGTATTAATAAGCATAGAGTTTTTATATTTTAAAAAAAATGTTATTTATTGTCTATTTTTTATAAAAAAATGTTTTTTATCTACGTATCCAGTTCGAAAATTATTAAAAATTTTTTAATGATAAATTTTTAATTATTTGCTTTGGTATATTAACTTACTCAATTCCTCATTTAAAATTTACTTTTAATTAAGACTAAAATTCTACAATCACAGTTTAATCAAAATAATATTAATTTGAAAAAAATTTTTTTTTTAATAATTCACATTATAACGTAAGTAATTGTTAATTTATTTTTCATTTTTAGTTAAAATTTTTAAAATAAATTTTCGGAATAATATTTAATTACGGTAAAGCAATAAATATTTCAATAAAAATGTAAATATAAAAAGGGCCGTAAAATTTTTTTTAATTATAATAAAATACTCAATATTATAATAATTTTTAAAATTTAAAATTTATACATAAGCAAATTCTGTTTGGGTACTTGATTGTTTACAAAACTGTTTGATAGTTTTTACAAAATATTGTCGATGACTTTTTGCCGCCGTTATCTAAAATAGATACTACGTTGATTAAGCGAGATTCAAAACCACGTAAATACTTTTTAATTCAAAAAAAAAGAACTTAAGAACTTCCGTTCGTGCCGCCATGTGCAGTAATTGGTTGTTGTTTTTCTGGTTAACATTTAAAGACTGATACTGTGATTTATTCATAAATTAGACATTTAAATTATTTTCAATTTACAAAAGCAATGAGCATAGTTCACATGTATTTTATAAATATGTAGATAAACGTGGTGGATTTTATTATTTCTTCAAGAACTTCTTTTTTCATTTTTGTGAGTGCACGTTTTTTCATAAGTATTGACCTTGTCAGTACGATAACCTTAAGTAATATTCAAATTTTGAAAAACGCTACCGTTTTAAATGTTTTAAACTTTACTTATATTGCTGTAAACCATTTAAAATAAAATTGATTAGCAATTGTTCCTAGTAGTAAGCTACATAAGCAATTGTACAAGATGGCAGGCACTATAAATTGCGACCATATTGTCAAACTTTTTCAAAAAAATTATTAAAATTTAATATTTAATTTTTTTTTATTGCACTATCAATTTATTAACAAGTATTTGGGTGTAGTTTAATTTAAAAATTCTGCTGTTATTAAACAAGTTATCAGTTAAATATCTTTTAAAACTTGCCTCGTGATTACATCAAAATGGCGGCCCCTGTAGATCAATCCAATAGTGGATCTTCTGGGGAAACAGTTGGCATTTCATATGCAGACGCTGTCATTAATTTTAGAAATAATGGTGAAAATAATAAAGAAAATATTAATTCAACCATTCAACCCAAAATTGTTAAGGAAAAAACAGTAAAGGCTCAACAAACGGGTTCTTCCAATCGTGCCAATAAGCAACCGGCGTTTGCAACCAATAAGGCCTGGAAGCAAGATGATTTTCCTCAAATTAACTCTAGACCGAATCGTTTTAAACAAGGTGACCGTGACAAAAAACAAATTAATCAAAATCAGAATGATAATGAAATCACCAATATAGGAACTAGTGAGAAAAGTAAAGGAAGTGCCAAAGCAAAACCTAGTGAAGCATCCTCACCACCAACTGTAGAAAAGATAAAGTATATTGAAGCTCCACTGCCAAAAGTTAACCCCTGGACAATAAAAAGAAATTCAATAAATTCCATTCCAAGTGCTCCATTATCTACAGTTATTTCCAATAAATCTGAGAAGGATAATGATATGTTTGCCACAAGTCAAATAGAAGATAAAGGTAAGTTGATAACTTTTATACAACCTTAAAGTTTTTAATTTTTTATAATAATATTTTTTCACAATTTTTACCAAATTTAATTGAGTAAATTAATCAAACGTCAAATTTTTTAAGTACATCATCACCTTTTAGGTGGCAAATCAAAAAAAAATTATTATTTTAAAACATTTAATTCACTCTAACCTTGTCAATTATTTAAACATAATTGTGTTATGTATAAATGGCTGAATGTTTATTCTATTCAAAAATTTATATTAGTAAAGTGTTTTTGCATTGAATTTAGAAATGTTATTATTATTAACAATGCAATATGCTATAACGATATATATTCAATTTATTTATTACCTTCTTTTTTATAAGACTTAAAATTTTTTTTCACAAGTCATCATAATTTTTTAGACAGGAATAGAGGAAATGAAAGTGTCACTGCATAAATATTAAACCTTTTTTATTTTTTAAATAGATAATAACAATAACTAAAACATATATTTCAGTATATTTTCTGTATATTTACTTTTTTTTTTTTAAACATTTAAATTTTTCTGGGTATTTCAATGGAGATTGTTTTATTTTGAAAAATTTCTTGTTTTTATTTTGTTTCTTTTTATACTTTTCCAAGTAAAATGTTTCTAAATAAATTTACTCTACTTATTCAAGAATGAGAATTGATTATTATGAGAAAATGATTTTTTTTTTTTTTTTTTTACAATTTGCATTTTGTTTTACAAAAAGTAAACTTCTTAATTTTTTTTACGTCATAAATTTAAACGAAAATAGATTATGTTGACGCGTCTGCTGTTGCTGTTGCTGCTGCTGTTGCAAAAAAAAAAAAAAAAAAAAAAAGGCAAATTGACAGAAAATAAACACCTGAACTTTGAATTGATTTTTGTTTTAATTTTAATCAATTTTTAATCAATTGACTGAGTCTCTTTTAATTGCAGTAAAAGTGATGATGATATTGTGCAATTCAATTTAAAAAATTTTTTTTTTAATTTTTTTTTAGTCACAGTGAATAATATTGTGAAAAAATATTAATTAATTTGTTTTATTAGTTTTAAATTTCAATTAACTTGTTTTTAAATATTAATTATATAAATATTGTTTATTTATTTACTTACTTATTTATTTTATTAATAACAATATATACATATTTCTTTTTTTTCTTATTTTTTTTAAATCTTCAAGTTTTGTTTTTGTTATTAATAATAATTGAAATTGTAACAATTTTAATAAAACAATTATTAACGTTTGAAAAATTAAGGAGAAAAGTAGAATAATTTTTTTTTTATGGAAAGATGGGAATTAAATAATATAATATTTGCGAATAAATTTTGCAATAAATAAATATTTAACATAATAATTATTATTATTTACGATTAGTATTCAATGTTTAATAATAAATAAGTGTCATTATTAATTAAATTAATTGTGGCTTTGAATAATTCATAAAAATAATTTTTTTTTTTTTTTTTTTTTTTTGTAAATTCGATTTTAATTATTTCGCCTTATTTTATTTATTTATTTAGTATTTAAAGGTAAATTTAATAGGAAAAAAAAATTAATTCCATCCATTATTGAGTTAATAATTAAAAATGTTATTTTGTTTATTGTTTGCGATTTATTCAAAGGCTAAAATTTTTACGCCAATTTAAATTTAATTGTAATTTTTATCAGTTAATTTAGTTTAGATATAATTAAAACGAATCTACTTTCACAGTTTTTTTTTTTTTTTTTTACTTTAAATGTGAATACAACAAGATTTTTTTCTTTCTAAATTCCACAAATAATTAAAATATTTTATTATAGAAAATTTAGTTTTTTTTTTTTTTTGTTTTTGTTCAAATGCGTGCGTGGTCAATAATAGATATAATAAATAATTATTAA